TGAAATGAATTGGGTACCGTGTATTGATAGAAGCGATGGATTTAGATGGGAATGCAGGAAAAGTATTAACGGAAAGAAGCATCGAGTAGAGAAGAGCGTTCGAGAAGGAAGCTGGTTTGAAAAGGCAAATCTAACCATTGAAGAAACAATAAAGTTTATATACTGGTGGACAAGAGGAATGAAACAGAATCAAATTAAAGAGGAACTTGGACTAAGTCCAAATACAGCAGTTGACTGGGACATGTTTTGCCGTGAGGTGTGTGAGGTAACAATAACAGAGAAAAGTGAGGTACTTGGCGGACCAGGGAAGATAGTTCAGATAGATGAAAGTAAGATTGGAAAAAGGAAGTATCACAGAGGGCACATGGTAGAAGGACAGTGGGTGTTTGGCGGAATAGAGGAAGATTCAAGAAAGTGTTTTATAGTGGCAGTAGAAAATAGGACAGAGGAAACATTATTAGCATTGATAAAAAAGTGGATTAAGCCTGGTACACTGATAGTTTCAGATTGTTGGAAAGGCTACATAAACCTGGAAAAACATGGCTACGAACACAGAACTGTAAACCATTCAAAAGAATTTGTAAATGAATTAGGTTTTCATACGAACAAAATTGAAGGACATTGGCGGCAAATGAAGGCTAGTTTGCCGACTCATGGTAGAAGAAAGGCACATTACGACTCCTATCTTGCAGAGTTCTTATGGAGGTATACACATAGAGGGGAGGAATTGTTTTGGGTTTTCTTAAAAGACATGAAATGTTGTTATTCTCAAAGTTTAAATAATTTGTAAGTAGTTAAAGTTAAAGCTGTTGGTTGACTGTATTTCAGTGCGGTATTTCTATAATATATACGCTATAGTGTAATGTCATTGCAGTACTTGAAATATAAATTGCATACGAATAAGCTACGTTTGTTTAGAATGTGTAGAATGTTATATTTGAAATTAAAAATATTGAGTTTTAAAAATATTTGGTAGATTGTACGCGTTGACGCGTTGACGCGTAGCCAAAAACCAAAAAAATGTCTATTAGTAAGGCGGCTACGCGTAATGATGACGGTGACCATACCAATAAGATCGAAGGACACTGGCGGCAAATGAAAGCGAGTCCTCCAAGCCACGGAAGAAAGAAGGCTCACTATGGGAGCTATATTGCGGAGTTTATTTGGCGWTACATTAACAGAGACAGAGATCTATTTTGGGTTTTTCTTGAGGACATGAAAAATGATTTTTGCCCTCTATAGACAAGCAAAAYAATTATGTTCAAGTGTAAATAGCACATTGACTGAACTATATTATAAAATGGCGATAATACTGGAAGTTATTACTATTTGTTTACATTTCATCTTACTTTATTCATTCCTGTATCATAAAACAGTAATATTAAAATGTCCAAGAATGTTATTTAGTAATAGTCTAGTAAATAAATAAGAAAGTTGTTTATATACATATGT